GGGAAAAAAAAAAAAAAAAATCAGTCCAAGATTGGAGAAAACCCACAAAGGTACAAGAGACATCACTACAAAGATTTCTTGCACAAACCACAAAAGTGAAAGTAATTTTTGGTTAATTCATTTTCTGTAAATCCTCATGTCTGGTTAGTTAGCACAGATACTCAGCATGACACGTAGAGTTCTCCTCCCTCTGATGCTGACCCTGCATTAAAGTTCACTACAAAGAACACCTGTAGAAGTCCTACAAATTGAAATGGGACTTGCCCTGGTACAGAAGTCTATGCTAGCTGCTCTTAATGCAGGATTAGCACGTATACCAAAACCAAAGCTTACAATACAGTCTGAACTGGGAGACAATCACAACGCACAAGGAAAGGTGTCACTCATGACATGCTTTATCTTTTATATAAATTCAGAGTACATCAACCCACAATGCTGCTAATGGTACCTGAGCTATCTTAGTTTTCTTTTGCTCAAATTTGCAGAGACGCAGTATCCGTGTTCCTGACTCGTCACTGAATTGCTCATGGAATGGGTGCAGTAGCTGAACCGTCTCACCAAAACTGAAAAAGTGCAAATTTTTTGTTTTAAAAGTGTGTTACTAAAAGTAAATCAGTATTGTTATTTGGCTCTAAAACACTAACATAAGTTACAGACTTAAAATATCCTCACCTACAAACAGCAATTTGTCCCACTTCCAAAAGAGTCAGTGCATTTCCAATAACTGCCAAGGATTCATATGCAAGCTATGAAAAAAAAAAATAAAGCAAAATTAAACAAATCAGTCATTAGATTGCTCCTAATCAATCTTTTCAATATTTCATGTTGAACTAAAAGCATATAAAGTAATTTCTATACTCTAGTAAAACAAATTTAAGTACGGCCTCTTAAGTATTTGTTTCCTTATAGTTTTTATGCATATGCATATGAAATACTACCTTGGAAATACCACAGATATTACATTAGAAAAAATACTGCCTAGCAGGGGCTTCTGGCCTGGGACTGTTCCTACCTCCCTGCGCTGAAAGAAATACAGATGGGGGTTAGTGAGACAGGGGAGGACCGCAAGCAATCGCCCCAGTTCTCAGGGGCCAGGCTGAGCCGGCTCCTGCAGTCCCGGCGCTGCAGCTGGAAACCACATGGTGCTGGAGCTGCCAGTGGGTGGGTGGGTAAGTGGAGGGGGAGGGGAGGGGAGCAAACAGGCGTGGAGCACAGCAACAGCTGGGCGGGAATGCAGGGCCCACACCGGTGCACCAGGGCCAGCGCCCGTGTGGCCCAGAGTGGGGTGCAGGCTGGCAGGGGTCTGTGAAGCTGGGCTGGGGTGTGCCAGCAGGGAGAGAGGGGAGCTGACCTGGCTCCAAAGAGCTCCCTGTTGCCCGGATCCCTGCACTCCTGCCACCCTGTTCTGGGCTCTGCCGGCACTGGCCCCAGTGCAATCCCCACACTCCCCGCTGTTGCTGCCCCTTCCCCCCGCCTGCCGCACCCATTTCCCCACTCCCCCCGCTCACCCACCAGCAGCTTCAGCACCACCTGGTTCTCAGCTGCATCACTGGGAATTCAGAAGCAGCTGGGACATGACATGGTGTTGAAGCGGTGAGTGTGTGTGTGTGGGGGGGGCAGGAGGACAGCAGTGGCAAACGGGAGAGTGGCAGTGAGTGGGAGCACAAGGCCTGCGCCAATGCCTCAGGGCCAGGAGAAGTGGAGCCCAGGCTTGCAGGAGCACTGGTGGGGGCTCTGCCTGCTGCGGGGGCGTGGGCTATGGGCAAACCCTCCCCATCCATGCAAGCCACAATCCTCCCCAGTCACCCTCCCTCCACACACTCAGTCCCCTACAAAATCCACAAACACCCCCACCCCACAACCAACCCGCCAAGCCTATCCACCCCGCCACAAATCCTACACCCTCCCCCACACCCCACATACCCACCCTCCCACACTATACAAGAGTAAGACTTCATTTTAAGCTATTATACTATCCCCTCTTTGTACACTACATAAATGCATATTAAATCAGGACAAAAATATTTTTTGAAACGAAATTAATGAATGTTGTAGTATGTTTGATTTTTAGAACACAGTTTGGTATTTTTCTGGTTCCGAGATGGCAAAGCCCCTTGCTGAAAGGAGTACATCCAGGGGGCCAGTGGAAGGACTTCTGGTGGCAAAGGTTAGGGGCTAGAGGGTGGGACTTCTGATCCCAAGATGGCGACCAGGGGGTGGAGCACCTGTCAAGGGACAGGGCTACCTGTGTGGCCCTTGATGACTTGCCAAAACTTGCCCAAAATAATTGCCCGCCCCTGCTCTACTCAGTCCCATGTGCTAGGAACAGGCTTTGGGGCCTCGTGCTGCCCTGACTCCAAGATCAAGCTCTGGGGCCCCACCTTGAGATCATGCTCTGGGGCCCCATACTGCCACTGCCCAACTCTGTGCCACCTCCACATACTGGGATCAGGCTCTTGGGCCCCACACTGCTCCCACCCAACCCCACATGCAAGGACTGGGTTCTGGGACCCTGTGCTGCCCCCTCCCATGGGCACCCCATCTAGTGTGCAGGGTCATGGCCTGTGAGGCTCCCCATGAACTCATGGGAAGCCCTGGGGGCTGGATGACATGGGGGCCAGAGGTTGAGCACCCCTGATTTAGAAGATGCAGAACACACACATTCCATACTGCAATTCAACTGAATTACTAGGTTTAATTAAATAATTTAATTGATTAAAATTACACTAAAAAGTTATCAACTGTTTAAAATTTCTTAAACTTGTACAAGTAATATATTAAATTAATTGCAGACTCCTAGGACTTTAACATTCTATCAAAGTCAAGCTGCTCAAGAACAGTGAACCTTCCACATGGAAAAATTCTTGCTTTTAGCCAAAGAATACCTCGTCTACCATACCACATCTTTATTATGGATTGTTTTCCTATGCAACAGGTTCCTTACAAGGTTCTCTTACCTGTTTGGAGTGGTTGTCTATCATGCTGGATGAGTCATCAATGGCCAAGCAAATCTGGTACTGTCGTTTGCTGGGCTTGGTCCTTCGCAACCAGATCTTATCCTTTCGGAACTGACTGGCAATATAGGGAATCACTTTGCGCATATTTAGCCTTTTTCCTGTTCGGTAATCACCTCTAATAGTAAGGGAGCAAACAGAGGAGTGAGGAGAGGTATTTTACTGAAAATGGTTTATGCAGACATGATTACTGGACATCAGCAGCAATATCAGCCTACAGCTTCAAACTGAATAAGTTCAAATCAAGCCCTTCTCTCCATATTTAAATTGCTTACAGATTGGTTTCATTTTTAAGGGGAGCAGGATGTTCAACACTTTTAGAAGACAGCACCTTCAAAACATGCCCCTAAGTTTTAGGCACTTAGTTTTGAAAATTTCTTGGTAAAACATTATTTGCCTTTTATATCTTGTTCAAAACTATATGGCAATCAAAACCAAATAAAATAGAAAAGGTTCTGAGACCATTTTTGGCTTGCTGAAACTATCATTCAAATTAGTTTCTCCACTGTTTATAAAAATGCAAATGGACAGGCTCAGGCAGAATAAAAATCATTATTATTTACTATATATCACTTACATGTTGTAAATCACCTAGAAGACTAACTAAAGAATGAACGCACATATGAAATGGGAACAAACCGCTACAAACCAGGGTACTGAGTTGCCACTCTAATAAGCTGCACTTGTAAAAATGATGGGCAGACAAAAGAAAAGTGAAGAGGCTAGAAGCAAAACTTACTTCAACTTGGCTGCCTGAGTGGGTTCCAATATAAGTCGTAGCTGTTCACACAGCTGTTGTGAAAGAGGAGCTGTCAGTACCAAATACCTCTGCCACATCTCTGCTGCTGCCCTTTCCTACAATATTGCAAATAAAAAAAACAAACAAATTAAATTGATGCAAAGGTATGAATCCACAAAGGGTCACCTGGAACATTCTTGTGGTCAAAATTAAAAGGGGAAAAGCCCAGTAAAGGACTGATATCTGCAATTCCTCTATGTGCAACATTCAAAACAAAGCATTTTAAGACTGAAAAAAAATCAATATAATGCATTAGTGAGCAGTCAATTATACTGTTATTGCAGAAGTAACTGGTGCAATAACAGTTACATTTTGGCATTGCCAGAGGAGCCCAACTAAGGGGTGAGAAAGCCACTGGCAGAAGGAATGAGGACCACTCATGAATAGATAACAGCCAACATACAATAATAGAATGGAATTAACTTGTTTTTTCATGCAGCTGACTTACTACTGACCTGAAACGGGAGAAAGACATTTAAACATGCCACTTGCAAAGGGGCCCAGGAAAATCAGGCCTTATTGTGCTAGGAAAAGGCAGGTAACATATACAACCTTTCCTAAGGATCCTAGTTTGACAAGGAAAGTGTATCTGAAACATGTTACTTTAAATTAGATAGAAGTAGAGAAACAAGTGACATCCAATTTCACTACAACTTTGCCCTTTTAAAGGGAGGCAAGGATATCTTAGGGTGATATCAGACTATGTATGTAGTCGGGATAAAGCCTTCTAGAAAGTCATGGCTACGTCATCACTCTAATATGAAGGGCATTGGTTAATAATCTTAATGGAGAGAATACCATTTAATTTAAAATTGATCTTACTTTACTTGTAACATCCATGAATAAAGAAGGATCTAAAATGTTACCTTCCATTTAATTAGTAAGGAAGAGATAACTATCTTCAGCCTGTAAAAGTATCTGCCTAACGAAATTATCAAAACATTAGAGCCAAGTTCTGATATCAGTTGGGCCATGAGTGCCAACACCATGTTCCCTTCTAGTTGATGTTAATAATTACAACATTTAGCAACAGTCTTTATCATGACAATCCTATTTAAGGATAATGTTTAAATATAATTTACAGTTCATAGCTGGAGTTACTACAGCAAAGTTGAAAAAAGTTCTGACATCAAATTCTGGTTCTGAGACAATCCAGACACAGGCACTTCAATACTTCAGTTGAAAGAGGCAGCTTCCATCAATAATGAATTAACTTAAAGTGGCATGTGACATACGCAATGTGCAAGGACTTGAGAGGCTGAGAGAAATGTTTCTCAGGACGCAAGTTCTAGAGGTCATTACCAGTACAAGTTCAAAGCAGCTTTCTACAAACAGTAGGCAGTGCTTTAGAAATAAGATCCGAATTAATGCCCATTTTAGGAATGGAGTTAAGAAGTTTGTAGTGCTCAAATTCTCCTTTAAAGACAAAGGTACATAGTCTGAACATTAGATCCTAGTTTAAGTCCTCATCAATGACTACAGTAGTGTAACCATATGAAAGGATGTGGGTAAGAGATTCTAGTATAAGTTAAGGTTCACTCACCTCATCTGGGCTTCCAGGCTGCTGAGTTTGCCAAGCTTCCAGTTGTCTTTCCAGTTCCTGTCTCAGCTCTTCAGGGTCTGTAATGATGGGCTAGAAATACATTTATGAGAATTTCAGATGGGCTCATTTTTCAGTGACTGCAGGTTTTTTGACACCATAAAAATCTAAGTAAGCTTTATAAATCTCTCTGGGACTAAGAGGCATGAAAAAAACAATCTTCAGAACTGCTAAAAAACAATGCAGTCAGAGTTCTGGTTTTTCTAGTTATACTAGATATACAGGTTTTACAGGTGATTGATTTAAATTGCCTTAAGTAACTGATTTTAATTTTGACATATTTAAAATTTCCAAAAGAAAGATTCACTTGAGTAACTAACTAATGGATTAGAGGAATATGGCTAATTACTTATCACATTTGTATTACTGTTTGATAACTTCTACCTATTTTAAGATAAAGACTTACATTATATTCATTCAGTCTCCATTTACAGTAAATGAAATGGGGACTTGAATTCCTAATTTAAATAGATAGTAACTTAATCAAACTACAGTACATTTAGAATTGAATCTCTAAAACCTGCAGAGAGAGTTAAAACAAAGTCCTTACTAGTTTTCATATTTAAAAATATTTTTACAAAATCATGGGAAATAAAACAATGCCAATAATTTATTAATCCACAAGGAATTGTAAGAAGTCTCTCTAGGCATCTACTGTAGTCAAACTTGTGGAGGAGAGATAGAGGACAGTGCTCAAAGAACCACAGCTTTTCCATATGCTACTAAAAATTAATCAGGAGCGCTCCGTTTCCTCTATGGCTTAGCCAAGTGATGCTTTACCCTCCTTTCTAACTGGTACTGCGAAACCTCCCCTTCCTGTTTCAGTCTACTTGAGCCACTGGATATATCCATCTGTCTTGTGTTTGGTTACTCAGGAAACAAAAGACCCATATCTTTGCAGACAATGGCGCTTTAAAAAAAATGCTGTTTTATTGTTACTGCCAAGGTCTGCATCTGTCCTATTTGTTCCTTTTTGACACAACGACTACCTACAAGAACTTCGATACACCTCTGCTAAAATAACCAAAGTTGGGGTACAGTGGGTGCAAACAGACATCACTGTAGGAATAATATGGTATCAGCCAGGGCTGCCAAAGATACAGTCTGCTGGCTGGATCTAGCCCATGGAGCCCTACAATCCTGCCTGTGGGTCTTAGACCAACCCCATGCTGCAGTGGCACATGCCAATCCCAGCCCCACACAGGGGGCCATTTTGAGGCATATGCTGCATGTGGTTCCCTCATCAAACAAGTCCAGCACGCAGGGACAGTCTGTGGGTTTCATCTGGACTGGTCCCCTAGCCAGCATAAAGGACCAGCCTGGTCCAGGTGCCGCATGCAGGCCCTGCACACTGCATGCCCTGGGCACGTGCGCTGCAGGCAGCAAAGGACATGCCCTGTCATGTGCTGCCTTGTTAGACTGGCTCTGCTGTTGGCTCTGAGTCTGGGGTGGTCTAGATTGGGTCCACAGACCAGCCCTATGCACCAGAGCCAGTATGAGGCATGGGCACCTCACAAAGCATGCACTCAATGCCAAAATGAGTTTAACACCCCTGGATAAGCTGTTTCAGAGCTTAAAATACCCATAATAATAATAAAAATGAAGACAGGTACTTCTGCAATACAGACAGTGAGAGCATGTGTTCCTCATTCACAAACTGGGCCTTCCTCACTGCCTGTGCCAGAACTACTAATTATAAACAGCATTACCAGAGCTTATTATACCCTCTCTCAGAAACTATAACTTTGAATGTTCAATAGGCTCCAGAGTTTCCTAGGACTCTACTATGTTGTTATTCTGTGCAAGCAAAGCTTATACACAAGGGAAGGCAAAAGTTTTTGTGAAAAATCTGTGACTAGCTTGTTGCAGGAGAAAGCCGCAGGGGTGAAGCATATGCAACCTTCCCTGTCCATAAGACTGCGCCATTTCTTGGCCGCAGAGCAGTCATATCCCCTCTATGAGGCCTATCCATTCCTTCCCTCCTTTCCCTCTGCACTGGCATTTGGCCAGTGGGTCCCCCTCTCTCCATTTCTAGACCCTATAAAACTGAAGTGTTTTTCCATCTGAGGGTCATCCCAGAGGTAACCCTGTACTGGAGATATGAGTTTACTTTCAGAATGAACATGTTTCAGCTGTAAAGATGCATTGGATGGCATCTTTGTTCCTCTATCACTCCCTTTTAAATTAAAACAAGAGAGGGAGGGAGACTCTTTAAGGTATCATACCTGGACTGCGGGATCCATCAAATACCGATGGGCTGTGTGTATGGTAGAGTTTTTACTTCTCTCTGGATCCTCTTCTGATGCCTGTGGCTGCTTGTTTATTGAAGAATCTTTGACATCCTCAGAAGAATCTGTGAGATCCTGCATCTCCAACTCTGCTTCATCAGAACCTAGAGTCATATAATGCATATTTACTAAACACTGCATTCCCCAATACATCCAGGGTCTGGTGCTGGGTACTATCTGGACTGAAATGCCCAGAAGTTTAGATACTTTGGAAGGTAAACAAGAGTTATTCTTGAAGGGGATACACAATAATCATAACAGTGTAAAGACTAGGTACTTCCACTTTAGTGTACACTGATACAGTTTTCTTCACCCAGCCCATTTCTCTGCTTTGACATGCTTTTTGCATGTGAAACATGTGCCACTGAACAAGCCCTGCACTAGTGGATTTTTTTTTTAAGTGTTAATTCATTTTTAGAAGTTACCTAGGCTTTTTTACAGGGCTTGGCCACATGGACCAATTACTGAGGTGTACTCTAGGGTGTGAATTACAGCATATCAGCTTCTTCCTGGTAACTCCTGTGTGCAGGCTTCTACTATATAGTAAACTGCTTACTCTGCTTTCACTTGGGAAATAAGGTGCACATAGAGGCAGTTAACAGGGAGTGACTGTCAAGCTGAATTCGTGTCCTAGCTTATCATATGGTTATCTGTTCTTCTGGCCATCAATACTGACTGACAGGAGGTGTTTGAAAACTTAGTGATAGAACATAATATTCAGCACATTATCTTTTGATAATAAAAACAATGCCAATGATTTCTTGTCCCACAATAAAGTAACGCACTTCAGCTGTGGGATCCATTTTAAAAATTAAACTCTCACTTACAGGAAAGATATGTAAAGAAGTCTAAACAAAGGACTGCAGTTTTCTTTTATTGCTACTATTTCTTTTATTGACCCATCTTGCTAATGCAGCAGAATTACTTTTATCACAAGAAAAGACAGAAGGGCGGTATGACAGGAAAAGCCCCAGATATAAAGTAGTGGGCAAGTCTGCCCTGTAAAAACTTTGTGGAAAACCAAAACGTTGTACAGAGTAGAGAACAAATCCAAATATATGCCCAAATACAAAAGCTTGTACCATCTTGCTTTGCACTTATACATTTATTTCTAGTGGTCATCAGCCCCACATTGAAAGTTAGTCAGTTTAAGAAGCATAAGCAAAGAGATTAACCTGAAAGAAAATAAAAAGTGAGCTTCAGTTTGGAAAAGTTACTTATTTCATCATTTCTCTTTAGTCAGCCATTGGATTGGTTGATAAGGAAGTCATTGTAAATTTCAGGCTCTAGTTTCATTAACTCGGATTAAAATGAAATATCGCTGCTGTAGTTGTCAAGAAGCATTTCTTTGCATCCAGTCTCTTCTGTCTTGGTTGGCATCCTCCCCTCTGACTCACAGATCAGGTTTATAGCTCTACTGTCATTCTTCCCTCTTCCTTAGACAACTCAGTTCATTACCATATTCCTACTTAGCCCATCCATGCAACTTACTTCTCTAATTGATGCATCAATGCTGTTGTGCTTCATGATGTCATTTTGCCCACCCCTCCACCTCCTGCTGTCTTGTGAAAACTGGGCTTTCTTGCATGCACTTGTGTTTCTGACACTCTTGGATTTGAATACACTTGTTACAAGCCAATTAACGGATCTGGCAGTCTGCCTACCTGAGTGGAAACCATTTGCTTTTTCCACTTCTATGAAGCAGTGGGAAAAAATTAGAGACCATTAACTCGAAAGAAAACAGCAAGGCACTCTGTCACTCAACCAATTCAATAAAAGATGAATGCTGCTAATTGGGTAGGTTTTAGGGCAGAGAATCAGAAGAGACCATTAAAAGCAGATGCTTCAGTACTAAATGTAGGATTTCTTTATGGATAATTAGGTATACTTAAGGGGCATTTACCAGAGTTTTTAGTGATCCCAGACTTCTTTACTTCAGGCTTCAGTTCTTCTATGTCTACAGCTTTCAAATCCTCATTGTTCTGCATTTCTGTTTCCATGGCTGCATCTTCAGAATCCACCTCTTCCTTCTCATCACTGAGAGGCAGAGTAGGTTTCTGCTGCTCTTTGCTGGCTACATCTATATAAAGAGAGTAAGAGGGACATTCAAGTGGAAGAAAACCAAAACCCCAACTACAACCAAAATAATAAGATCCCTGCTTTCTGAAGTTCTTCCATATCAGGAAAGACTCGTATTCAGCTTCTTGAATCACCTTTTTGTTTTCTCAAGATTACATTTAAAAAATAGCTTAAAAACTTCAGTGAGTGGAAAATCTAAGCTACTATTCAGTCATTAGTTTCCTTCTTGCATTCTTCATTAGCTTCCTTTCTAAAAATTATTACTTAAAATAGGTGAATGAATTAAGTCATTGCATTACTTTTTAAATTGGTGCTTTGGGAAAAGCCAGTGAGACTTGCTTTATATGCAGTTAACACAAAAGGGATCTATTAGATACACAAATGACAATTGAGGTAACAATTTTTACAAAGTAAGACCCCATTTCAGCAGTGACTTGGGCAATTCGGCACTCAAAAATGTTAACCTTCATGCATACGTCTGACTTTTCAGAGACTAACAAAACAGTGACTGTACTGTTCATCAGTTATCCCTTTAAAAAAAGCATAATTGCAGAAACAAACATAGTTCACTTGAAAATAAAAAAAATATGGTGCTGGGCATAACTGCAGATAATAGGAGCTTTAGATCTCAATTTTAATATGGACTCTAAATCTAGAGCTTGTAAGTTTTGCAGACACTACCCTACCATATGTCTGTGCATCATAGGATTCACTGCCTTGCTTAATGTGTTCAAAGGCATCAGCACTTTCCATGTCTTGTTCAGGCTGAGCTGTATTCTGCTTGGCTTCACTGCTAGAGTCTATAGTTCTCAGTCGTTTATGGACATGCTTGTTGTGATCCCCCATTGAGCGCTCATTGTCAGCTTGACCAGGTTTTCTCTTGAAACTCTGAAAATGGAGAAATTGACACCATGCATGTTTAATAAGTGAGGTCAAACCAGAACACTGGATCAAAATGTTAGCATGCAGAGTAGCCAACCTGTAATTTAGTTTAGATCAGGGGTTGGCAAATTTCAGCCCACAGAGCCATTTCATCCAGCCTGTGGCCATGGAGTTTCAGTGGTATGGACAAGCGCTGGCTGGGGGCACTCTCCCCCTGCTGTTGAGGAGGCAAGTGGTAGTAGGGGCCAGGCCAGGTCCTAGCATCTGCCTGCCCACCCTTGACCCAAACTGGGTCACTCCAGCCCACAGCCTTAAGTTTGCTGCCCACTGATTTAGGTAATTTGATTCTTAATGTTAACAACACATTTTCATTATTAGACTTCACAGAGCTTAAAGAATTGAAAAAGAAAAAGGAACCTGAGTATTTTTTCTGCTTTGTTTCTGAGAAGCCAATCGTGCCATTAGCTGGGATTCATGGCCTTCTGACTGACATGCATCAGCAGATCCAGTCCCATGTTCCTAAAAGACAAGAAAAAAAATATCAGCTGTTACTCTGGGTCATACGAAAACATAAAACAGAAAGATCAGGAAATGAGCATTAGCTGTTATTGCACAAAATTCTAGAAACTAAATGGGCCTGTTAGGATAGCTTTTCATCTTACATAACTGAGCAATGGCTGAGCTGAGTTGTAGTTCTGGAAAATACAGCAAAGTGCTTGCACACATGCTATTTTTGTAAGAGGCAGATAAGACAATTCTGTAGCTCAAGACTTCTCATAATGTTAACACTCCTTTGACTGCTTGGGAGTTATTTAAAAAAAGACGACAAGTTCATGCAGCTAATTTCAGACTCAATAGCCTCATGTTGTTTCCTGCTGAAATCAGAGACTTCCATACGCAGATAACATTTTCAAGTGTAGCATCAACTCTACCCTAGACATAACAGCATGGAGAAGAATCTAAATAAAGAGTCCCTAAGTGCTATCAGGAGCAGAGCAAAATATATACCCATGGGTTAAAACTAAGTATTTTGGAAAACCCCATAAAACACTGCTCCAGTTGCAACTGGAAATTTCCACCTATATCACCTCCTTAGCCTGGTCTCTGTCTGAAGCTGCTCCAGCCAGCTCAACAGCTGTGTCACTCTGCAAATTTTCTTCTCCTGTCTGCCCTAGTGTTTCATGTTCCATTCTCTCTGCAGACTCAGGTAGTCGTTCATCCTTCTCAGGATCGTCTTTATCCTCTTCTTCCTGAAGTAAGAGCAAACAGCTTCAGTGTTCTGAAATGTCAGTCTGAGAACAATACTGCTGACAAGCTATACGAGTAAATAAGTATATTCTACTCAAGTGATAATGCATGAATTTCAGTATTTCACTCACAATATCCATCACTGGGATTTTGTTCACATGCTTCTGTCACTCCTGACACAGGTAAAACATATTTCCTAAGCCTTGTTTTAGTACAGAAATATTGTTCAGTTCTAAATCTTACTAAACAAGATTAATATAAAAATGCCCCTCCTATACCACCCCACCATTACATTCATACAGAGTAGAGATGCTCAACCTGTGGCGGGCTAAGCCATCTCATTTGACTTTTGGGGATCCCCACAGGTCTGGAATCTCAACAGTGGGGAAGGTGGCCATTAATATGGCCATCCTCCCTCATTGCCAAATTTCCAAACCTCAAGCCCTGTGTGCATCCCCCACTTCTGCTACAGAGCCGGTTCAGGCTCCTACCCCTCACTTCTGGAGCAATGCTGGGCCATGTCCCCCTTCCACCCTACAGGACTGGGTCAAACTCCTTTCCCCTTGGCAGGGCTGTGTTGGGGCTAGCATACCCCCCTGCACCCCTCCACCAAATGGTGCCAGCCTCACCTGCCCCAGGTGCTGGATTAGGACCACTGGCTGCTTCCAGCTGGTCATTGAACCTGGCACTAGCTAACTGGCTCACTGGGGAAAAGGTTGGGTGCCACTGATATATACATAAAAAAACCATGGTTTTCAACCTGGGGCTGAAGACCTTCATCAGCAGTAAGTACTCCTTTCTCCATCTCCTCTTCAGCAGATTCATTTTTGTCTTCTTTTGGTGGCTGTACCTCTTCCTCTGTGGTTTCCTCTGGTCTTTCTATATTTCCTTCTTCTTGGTCAGCAGCTTCTCTCTCTTCCTCATCTTCTTCCTCTGCTTTATCTCCCCCATCTTCTCCCTCTCCTTTATCTTCTGCTAGCCCTGGATCTTGATCTTCTCTGCCTCCATCTTCACTATCCTCTTCATTTTTATCTTTCCCATTTAAATCCACTGGTTTTTCTTCTATATCAAAAGGATTCTCTCCCCCTGAGTTAAAGAAGAGCAAAGCAATATAAAATTTAAAAGGCAACCAAAAAGAAAGTGAACATTAAAAGACAAGAAAAAAAGCCTAGCATTTTAAAACCAGGCAGGGAAAAAATAAAGCAGACTCTACACACAGAATCTGTGATTTTCTGTAACGTATTTTCTCTTCAAAACTACAACCAACTTGGGTCCAATTAGGTCCTATTGGTCCATTGGGGGCATTCCTATTTAGTAGCCATCATCTAATCATCAAGTACAAACATTTGAAGGTATTTTATCACAGGAAGTATAGCAATTGGACAAAAAGCAGTCTACCTAGGGAAGCTGTTGAATCATCCCTACTTAAAATGATTTCAGGGAATAGGTTAAATGGTACACTTTGATTATGAGCACCTTATCCAGTCCTACTTTTTGACTCAAACTGCCAAAAAACTGTCCTGTGAACTAACCTGCATGTAAAACTAACATTTTAAATTCCCTGAAGTTAATGAAAGATTTCTCTTTTTGAGCAACGGTGATGTTTGCACAGGCTCAGTATCTAACTCATCATCCCTCTTTTCTCAGCATCCTCACTTTCAGTTTAGTTTTCCTCTGAGAATCTGCTAAGACAGCTTCTCAGTTATACCTTCTCCTTCATTCTCCTCATCACTCTTTTCCTCTTCCTTCTCTAGGTTTAAGTCATCAGGAAGGTCCAAAGCTTCAACTTCAGGCTGCTTCTCTTGCTTGCCATGATAGGGATCCACCTCATTTTCATCATACTCCCGCTGGCAAGCAGGAAAACAAGAAAACAGCATATTACTGGTGGAAAGGAAAGGGAAAGAAAACCAGGTGGGAAAGCAATTCACTGGGAGCTAACACTACATGACATTGTATTTTGCAGGACAAACAGGTCAATAATACTTTCGTTTAGTTCATCCAAGTCCGCAGGCCAAACTAAACTGGCGAGCTTGAAACTTGTAAGAAAACCTCAAAGACTTATTGGGTCAGGATGTGTAGGTGCTCACTTCTGTTAATAAATCCTGGCTTGCAAAGATCTCTTTTCTAAAGTACACACCCTCCTGGTCAGAGCTGTCTAGACAGCAGAGAGGATTGTCAGAGAAAAGTAATTTCCTAACTGCTAGCCTAGCTTTTTCTTTGAGTCCCTTCATGCTGATGAATTCTCCCCCCACCAAGAAGCCCTCTGCTCTGTTTAGAATTCTATTGCTAAAAGTCTTTGGGCAGCATCAGCCCGGCAGCTCTATGTGCTGTTAGTGTTTGGGCCAGTACAGATGGGTTTTCAAGAGCAATTTACAGATACTTGTGGTCACAAAACAGAAGCACTACATGGTGTTATCATGCAGCTAAGTATGTGTATTTAATTCTTTACTATTAAACTCTGTACAGTGGTAAATGCACTGATTCCTGGACAAAACAAGGATAAGACATTGATCATCCCAAATACATTTTGATGTGGTGTTTCTGCTGAACCATCCATTGGTATTTTTAGGTAAAACAAATGCATATATGTTTTGAATTCTGAAGCATTAAAATATATGTAATAGTACTCAGTGTGGTTTATTCTCATCAAGGAATGAGGTTAACGTTTTGGAAGTTTCTTCATTTATACACAACACGCTAAGTTCTCAGTGTGGCACAGAAGACAAGAAATAGAAGTATTTTTAGAACACAGCAGTTTCTTTGCAAATAAGTATGAATCTGTTTGTTTTTTTTTTAAAATCACATTAGCCGTAACTGTTTTAAAACTTTTTTTTTTAAATCAGCCAATAACAGGTCACTGTAGTCCTTGGCACAAGAGAAGTACAATATTTCAGGCTTCTCTAAGTGCTGTTTCATGCCTTGCTCTTCATGCTGCCTGAAATCCTTTTTACCTCATCAATTTGCTCATGGACTTTCTCTTGGTTTCCACCATCCTCTGCTTGCTCCTCTTTCTTTTCATCCTTCAGTGGCTGCTTTTTGTCATCATTTTTATTGCCTGCATCCAAGTTGTCATCTTTTGCCACAAGCTCCGAATCACCCTGAGTATTGAGCAAAAAAATAAAAATAAAAATCCAGGATTATGATTATGCAAACTGTCCCCTGTAGATTTTGACTAAGGTAGCATCTCCCACACAAAGCAAACAGGCATTTAGAATCTACTCAAACTATGCCCCTCCTAATGCCAGAGCCTAATACACAGGCTGTAATCTACATTTGCCACAATCAGTAGAGATAATTGCCAATATACAGCAAGCCTGGACAAACTGCATCAGGCCTAAGCACATAATTCAGGGGAGAACTAAATATTCCAGGTTGATTCTATTCAATGTTGCATGTTTTCACTGGATGGATGCAACTTCCTGAATCATGCTACAGCTGAGGACCAGTCACTTTCCTCTGATTAGTCAGGACCAACCAAGCTCTTGAAAACTGATTATAAAGAATAAAGAACTGGATCTTATTGAATTACAGACAGCAGTCAAATCCTCACTGCTTCTCTTGTACAGACTTCTGCCACTGTGTCAAAAGAGGGGTTACTTACTTTTGCCCCCAAGTCAAACCTCACTCCCTAGGTGACAGTACATCAATAAAATTATTTATTTTTTTCCTTTTTATCTCAATGTGCTTATTTTACCTCATCCATTCCTGGTCCCATTTCTTCTGTTTTATTGTCACCACTATCATCTTCCTCCTCTTCATCATCATCTCCCCAGAGCCTCTCATTCAGTTTATCAGCTTCAGCATCACCAAGATTTCCCATTTGCTTATCCAATTCTTCATCTTCATCTGATTTGTCATCCTCTTCTGTAGACATCATCACAAGTCAGTAGATATCCCCATGCGCAAGGTACAGGCTAAAATTGTGCAACTAATGAGACTAAGGGCCAGATCCAAAATGTGGTGTAGCTGCTAAACAGGAACTGAACACACAAAATACAACCTTGGACCTTTCCCCAAATCTTCTGCAAAGTAATTCTTGCATTTTCAAAAATATTTCCCAGGTGGTCTAATCTACCTAATGATTCTGGAATGCATGTCATTTTGTAGGTGCACCAAGTCCTCAATTCTTGGCAGGTCTGTCAGGAGGTTGTAAATTACATCCAAAATATTCAAAATCTGTCCTTTCTATGTGCAAAAAGGCTAAATTTATTTGCCAATGGCAGCCCACATGATTCTGCTAAAGTACTTGTATTTTTTATTTTAAAGTGAATGAATGAGAAAATCCATTGACACAATCCTTCCAAAACGTGACTCTGCTCTGAAAAGTACTTCATATTTAAACAAAAAGCCTCCTTTCTGGTAGCAGCTAGAGGAACTATGCACGCTTTACTTAACAGGTAAGAAATAATTTTGTTTAGGTCTACCCACTAAAATCTGTTGTGCTATAGGGAGGCAATCTAGCTTAATAAACTCAGAAAGCATTGAGCTATAACTCACACATGGGGACTATTCTTCACTGCTACCAGTTTAACTAGTGACCTTGGGCAAGTAACATCACCTTTCTGTGCTTCACTTTTTCCATCTATAAAATGAGGACAGCCCTTGAGAGCTAGGGATAAGCTAACTATTACTTTAACTAATAATAATATGCTGCTGCATAACACCCACCTATATTTTGCTACAGATAGTTAGTCAATGGCAACTGGTACAGGAGGCTCAAAGTTAGCTCTTTTTGCTAAGGCAAATGCAGCCTACTCCTCAATGGGTAAAACTTTGATGAAAATAGGCATTTCCTGAGAAACCTGGTAATCTGGAAGTAAACTAATGTCCTGGTGGGTCCTTTAATAACAGAAAGTTCCAGTTCCACTCACTTGTGACAGAAGATAGTCAGATTTGCTGTTTTTTTGCAGCTGGCTTTGTTATTATTTGTATGCTAATATTGTTATTCTATTGTTAGAACCATTTTGCTGTATACACTTTTCCATATCAAAATACAATTTTTCAGAAGCATCAGGTGTGGAATCTTTTTGGTTTGCTTCAGTGAAAGTAACAAACCTTTCTTGTCCTGTTCCCCTTCATGCATTTTCCCTTCAAAGTCCTCCGACATTTCAATTGCATTGTCCTCTCCTTCAATATCTGGTTTAGAGTCTGGATCTTCTTTCTCCTTTTCTTGCCCATTTTGCTGAGCGTCTTCTACCTGAATGGTTTAGTCACAGTTGAGGGTTTAGTTACAGTTGGCTTGTCTTAAAGATTTTAATAGCACCCTGGTAACACTCAGATCTATTTTTGTACTAATATGAAATGCAAAATGGACTGTCAGCAATATTTCTAATTGTTTATCTGATTACAACCTGCACGTTACATTTTTTAGAACTGCCCCTAAATTTGAAGGCAAACTTTTGTCTTTTTAGAGTTATTTTGTATGCCTTGATGTTTATACATTGGTAGTTATAATCTGTTTAATGAATTCTTCAAAACAGACTGGTAGCAAACAAATGAAAATATACTATAATTACAGCTTTCTGCTACTCTGGAAGATCAAATTCACAATAAATTGCATTTCTAGGCACAAATGTGTGTACTTTACATTCAGTTTGCTTTCATCACAAATGGTGTCAAAAACAAATAATGATTTCAAACAAGCAACAATTTCTCCCTAGAGAAAATTTGTTTCTAGGTGCCCTTGAGCAACATTGTGCATACATACCTGGTTCTCATTTTCTATTTTGTCACTCACATCCTTCTTGCCTTCCCCATCTCCAATGCCACCACCTTCATAGTCATGGAACTCTGTTGCTCCTTCCCCTGCTGCTTCTTCCATTAATTCTTTAGGCAGACAAAATCCCTAAAGGCAAACATTTTTATTGATCTAATTCAAAATTAAGTAACGGCAAAATGAAAGAACATTATTTTAATCAACAACACAGACCAACAGCCTGCAGACCAACATAGCTACAACCTGCACCCCTGTAACCAAGAACACACCTGAATACTAGCTTCCTCAGAGCCAAGAAAGATCAAATCTGCCCAAGTCTCAATAAACCTGATTAGAATGAGTCGCTTCATTAGCAAGTTAGAAAAAGATTGAAAAACTTTAAGCTTTTTGTATGCCTCCCATGATTGCACACTGTACCACCACAGTGAATATACTGTTGCTAGTTACAACAAGTAAATCATGAAAACATTCAGAGCTTTAAATTTTCTTACTCATCTTTATAGATGTTAAACAAGTACAGCTAGAAATTAATTTGATAATTAAGCCATCCTAGGCCTTTGAATGTAGTATGCAAGATTAATATCAATCCTATAATGTCCCTAATAACTTACCTTTTGAGCAAGCTCTGTGAATATACTAGTTAAAACAGAAAGCAATTTCCCAGTACTCCTGTGAGATGTCAAGGAAACCGTGAGGTAGAAGAGGATAAGATCTGAATACTTGCAGAGCATAGGCAACAGACGCACCAGCAAGTAGCAGGACTGATTGAAGAACTGCAGTTAAGTGAAAAACAAAAAAGGGCATTCGATATAACTATACATTTCAAATGAGTCTTGACAGAGGCCAAGAACAGATACCGTAAACAGAGGTGCTCAAAACATGTTCTGCCTTGGTGAACCAATGTGTCTGGTTCATAAATTCAGTTTAATTTGTTTACTATGTGCCTTTCCAAAACCTTGCATTCTGGAAATAATTAATTACTACAACAGCCTATCTTGAGGCAACTGTGCAGAGCTTAGTGACTTGTTCTGAAATAAGAAATTTATTTTAAGCCTAAAATTAAAAGAATATTTTTCAGAAAACATTTTTCACACAGTTAATTCTAATTCTTTACAGTTATAATGGTTTTCTACTTTTCACATGGCAAGGACTTTTACAGTTTTACAACTCTAGCAATACATGGTACCGGTGATGCAGAGACACTGAATAGCCCATAGTTAAATCTTATGTCCTTTGGGACCTTAAAAACAATGACTTTAAGGGAAGAATGAATTTACCTTGCGTTTATCTGGCGTGCAGTCTTCTCCATAAGATTTCAGTCTCTCCAAGAGTTCTGAAATGGCCGAAATGATTTTCTGCATATGCAAAGAACTCAGATCAGCAGAGAGGTCTTCATCCAAGAGTTTAGTTAAATGCCCGGCTTTTAGTCTGTCAGCTGAGGCATCCTCTTCAGTAGAAGCACAGAAAAAACGTTACCAAACCCAACTTTGAGATTCACGATCATAGCTCAAAGCAATAAATCCCCATCCCTAGCAGGTTCTATGGATAGTTTCAGTTAGCAGGATAAAGCAGTCTGGAGTAACCAGTAATGAAGACATGCAAGCATATCTCATTTTACATGTGCACAATTTTCCCTTGTTGTTTTTGGCTAAGGTCACAGACTTACCATCTTCCTCTGGGGAGTTTTCTTTCTCCTTTCCTTGTTCCTGTTTTCTTTCTACCAAGCACTGGATGGCACACAGGACAACACGGATGGCAGTTTCTACTTGCTCTGAGAAATGCTCTACAAAACTTTCATCTGATTCTTGATTCCCTTTGGAAACAATACAGTCATAATTTTCCATGATAACAGTGAATTTCTCTAGAAGGCAACCTCTCTTATACATGGCAAACACTGCTCTAAACATAAGGCTGTTTGGCATTTATTTAAATGAAGACAGATAACAGCTTTCCAGGGGCAGATGAGAGACATTACTAGGAATGGGCCAAAGAATTCAATTAAGAGAGAAAAAAAAAAAAAGGAGCAGAGCACTGATTTTATAGTTTAAGGACCTGTCTAATCAACCCTACCGTGGTTTAGTTTTAGAGGCTCTAGTTTCAGCACTTTCTTTAAAGGCTCTGGAATCCAATGCACAATCACCAGGACTGCATGGGAAGTTTAACTGGATTGGTGCACCTGGCTTGGCCCCAGCAGCCTTAGCTGGGAGCCTCACAGGGCTCCAGCGGTGGCAATCCAGCAGCAGGAGTGTGGCTCCGGCCAGACAGGATCCAGTTTTGGGCAGCACACACTGCTGCCACATGCACTGCCTGGCTTTTTTCAGGCATGGTTTTTTTGACAGCAGAATCTCCTCGTGTCAAGAAAAAAACAACCCCTGCCCCAAAACACAAACCCTTCACTGCAAATTAGCAGGGCAGGGAATGCCTGCATGTGTGTTATGTGCAGCATGCAGCCGCACAGACAGGTCTGTGGTGCCGCAAACCAAAAGTATGCTCTTGTCTGGACCTGCCTATAGTGAGTTTTGCTGAGCTGTCTCAGGCCGGGTCAGAATCCCCACAATGCAACAGCTCACCAAAACTCCATATATGGGATGGGGCCAGAGTGGGCAGTGCTTGGGAGCAGGACAGGAAGCTGAGGCTGTGATCATGGGGCAAGTTGCAGAGTGGTAACAGTGCAGGGCCAGGCCCCGGGCAGCGCTGCCATCTGCTGCCTACACACCCCTGTGACAAGCACTGGGCAGGGGTATGTGGGTAGTGGGTTGTGACTCTGCTCTGGCCCCATGATGTTGCTATCCCAAGGTCCCGGGGTCTCCTGAGCTCCACCCACTCATCTCACTCCCGGGTGCTGCTCCCTGCCTGCCCGTGGGTCTTGCCCCCCAGTGGTGGATGCAGGGCAAATGGGCTGGAGTGCTCAGGCAGTGGGGCTAAGTCTGGTAGCTGTAGCAGCTGGAAGGAGCCACTGCCGCTAGGGCTGCCCAAAGCAACAGATTGCCCACAATGATCTTCAAAAGTATGTGCTGGGCTAGAGACTGCAGAACCTCAAATGTTTCAGTAAAGCATTAAACATTTCAGGGACTATCCAAAATAGGAGGTTTGCCCATCGCTAGAAATATTCTTTGAAAGACAGATTTCTCTGCTATTAAGCGGGTTGATTATCAGCCCTTATCAAGTAAAAATGTAAACAGAGCAGACAGGCATTATGCAAAGTTTCTCATACCTATCTATAAATGCACATGGTGCCCCCTGCCTGACCACCTTCCTCCCGCTCCCCCACAGCCCTTTGCAGGCAGGAACTCTGCCAGCCTGTAGAGAGCTCTTTGCCAGAACTGTAAAATCTGAGGGTTACTCCATTAAAATGAGAAAGCTGCATTTTCCTCAGGGAAAGGGGGAAATCTGGAAACAGAAAACCCAGATCCCCGATGAAAACAAACTAGCTTTAATTTGTGTCTCGGGCACATTTGTCTTGTGCAATAACTGAGCTACCAAGTTTCTGGAATTCCTATTTAAGTTACATTGTGAAAAGAAAGGAGTTATCCTTACCATCACAATCTGATGTGGGAGTGAGAAGCTGTTCTTTCCAGGTTGCAAATTCTACTGCAGTTTTATTAACCTCTTCCTGGATGTATTCTAGGCTCTTGATTAATGTCATCTGCCTTGCATACTGCCCACCTTCCACATCTGGAAGAACAAACAGGGACTCTAAGCCCTGTAACTGAGAGGAAACTTTCAACAGACAACTCAGTCCTGAAGTGCAAACTTCAAAATCTTTCCTGTAACAAGAAAGGTCACAATATTGAAAGACAAAAACTTCCATTCAAAATTATACCTTTAGAAATGGGGGTTACTTATACATATTTCCCTAACTTTTTAAAAGTCATAGCAACAAATACTGACGGCAACCATAATACTGCTTTAACAGATGACGAAAAGGAATAAAGGAACATTTTCCACTGTTTTAATCAGAAGTCAACCCCATATTTTCAGGTCCAATTAAAAAAGAAACAAATAAAAAACAGCTTTTTCTCTGGATGCAACTGATACCACCCTTATAATAGGGAAGTCAAACAAACAAGGAATGACCCAAAGAGTTAAATGTACAAAAATACTAAAACAAAAACTTCACAGAAAAGGCTTGGTATTTTATGGCATGCACAAAAATATGGCAACTGCAAAAGTCAAGACTGACTGGCACAATTACTATTGACCCCAGTAATTTAAGAAGTTCTTCTGAAAGAAGAAAAAGGGGCAGACTTAGAATCAGAACAATGTAATATATTGCTTTGCTTCTTTAAGATATGCAAACATAACCTAAAAATGTTTCCATTAAAACAAACAAAATAAATACATGTTTTTATATTTTTACATTAAGAAATTCAGGTCTTGCCTAGCACCTGGACCTCTGGGAATAATTGGAAAATTAGTGGACTATCACAGGAGACCAAAGACAAAAGCTCGGCTAAGAGGAAAAACTTTTGGTTGCACTGTTTGAAAGATTTAGTTGTTTGAAAAACTAGGCTTGAAACTCAAAACATTCATTAGGAAAAAAGCTGAAAAAATATTTTCAAAATACATTTTCAGACATTCTTTAAAAACACATTTAAAAAAGTAGAAAACTTTTTCAAATGCACGTTGCATATTATGTTTAAACCTTACATGAGCATCCAAAAGCACAGAAACAGTTTCCCTTCTAGCCAAACACAGGACTCACCAAGAATGAAATAACGTCTCACAAGATTGTTGTCTTATTTTGTCCACATCTTTTTTCATTGCCTTAACCTCGGCTAGCATCTCAGTCACTTTAGCAGCCAACTGCTGCCACAGCTGATCCTGGTTTCGCATCTTAGATCCAGGAGGCAGTTGATCTGCAGTCACTGGAGACGGATATATTAGCTCTGATGGAATCAGGTCAGGTATTCCCATCTGGGCATTTCCCAGACTTTGGTTGGTTCTTTTACACTGGAGAATGTGTGTTTTTATAGCTGTCCTTTCATCGCCACTGCACAACAAAGACTGCTCTCTTGGGCAGCACTGTATAAACCAAGACAGTTGCTCAAGGACCATGACACACTGCATGGCAAGATGCTGCAGTCTGTCCGTCCATTGCTGAATGCCATCTTGAGGAGGAAATGCTACCTTATACTCCCCAGCAGCATCTATCCTGGAATCAATTTCCTGTATACAACTCAGAAGATTCCTGTTTAGAAAAACCAAAGAAAAAAAGAAATGAAGTAACTCTCAACTGGGGGTATTCAAAAATTGCATTAGATTTCCCTTTAAGATCACTCTTCACCACTTTATTCTAATTCTTGGGAAGTTCTCATGTTTCCAGAAATATGTTTAACAAAGACACTGGGATATTAATCCATGCATTCAATACATTGTCCAATTGGTGAGCAATAATTACTCAAAAACTTTGAAAAGAAGTTTTATGCAATTAACAGTCTCCACTCTATTCTATTCTGTACACA